CATTGCGATAAGACATTTCCGAAATGATAGTCCAAGAGAAAAACGTTTCAAGCGACGTTTCGCTTCGCGACGCGGATAAACGACCCGCTCTCTCCGTTACGGCTAAATTTATTGCTGAAATTCCACGTGAAATTTTTCCGCTCCTTCTTCTCGTCTCGAACACATCGAGAGGAGTGCTACGACCGCGCGCACCGTTAATCCCGGATCATACGTCGCCGAAAATTTCACGAGACACGCATTGATAATCCCGAGTTTTGCAGAGAGTCTCGACGACGATTCGCCCGGAGAATTCGCTTCCCCGCGACGTTTGAGGCTTGTTTTTCGACCCGTATGTAGAACGTATAGAAACTAGGCAAAGTTATTCTATTATCAATCAGGGAGTGAAAGAGCAGTCGAGAAATTTCGGCGAGATCAAATTTTCGATGGCCGGGGACAGATGCAGAGAATTAATTTTTCGACGTTTTTCGTTCGTGGCAGGGAAGAGAGTGGAACGAGAAGATCCTTCTCCGTGTCGAAAATTGAACCCACCGAAAACTGCGCCGAGTTCCAATCCCCGATTCTCTCCGCGCGGAAAGTCTCGCGGAAAAAAAAAACGCACAAAACGGTATCGTCGGGAGCGCCCGTCTCCGGATTTCTACGCTCTTCCAGAAGGCAACTTTGAAAATAAAATACATCAAGAGAGGCATATCGAGACGCTGCGACGATACCAATTTGGCTTGGAAAAGTACCTCTCCCTCCGGAATTACTCGCGAACAGAGCGCGGCCTCAGTTTCTCTCTCTCTCTCTTTCTCTCTCTCTCTCTCTTTCTATCTCCCTCATGAAAATGCCGAGAAAAAATGCTATGGTACACGAGAGCGGATATTCTGGATCCTAATTAATTTAGTTTCTTTTTTCGCGCAAAAATTTCCGCGGAAGTGGAGAAGAGAGAAAGAGAGAGAGAGAGAGAGAGAGAGAGAGAGAAAGAATGGCGTAGGGAGGAAGCTGAAAAGAGGTAGATGGATCGATGGCGAAGCAGGAACGAGAGTCAGGGGGAGGGAGTGCCGCGCCGATATCCGCGGAATTGTCCGGGACGGGAGGGCTCGTTAAGTACGCGCCCATTCCGCACATTACTAGCGTGCGGATACACGCAGAGTTGTCGAGAATGGGGACTGTGGAACGAGACGCACGCCTCTCTCAGCTGATCCTCGCTCGCACCGTCGCGTTTCGCGTCGCTCGTCCACCACCTTCTTCACGTTCTCGCCGTTCGTCACGTTTCGTATCGTCCGTTTCTCTCTCTACGTGCGCATCTAACACGACTCGTTCGCACGTTCTCCCCACGTTTCTTCTCTCTTTCCCTACGCGTTCGCTCCTCTACTTTTGTAATATCCCCTTATAATATGTCATAAATATCACTCGCGAGTTTTTTTTTGTTATCCTTAAACGCGGTTTTAAGTCACGGTGTATGTATATAATTATATTTTTTGTTCATATATATTTATATGTATATTAAAGTATGTAGTATCACTAGAGAATATTACTTGTGTGTTCGGAAGGACCGGAACGCCTTCTGAACTCTCTCACAATCGCTCGCGATTCTTCCCTCGCTCTCCTAAGACGCCTCTTCTATCTCGTTTCGTTTCGACGTTTATTATTATCCAAATCCTTTCGCATCGAGTATTCGTTTGTGTGTATATATATACCTATAGGATTATCCCTCTATATTGATTACACGCGCGCGCAAACAAGCGCCGCCGCGACGATTCTCTCTTTTTTTTTTTTGTAATACTCGTAATAACCTAGCGCAGTTTAAAGTTTGAGTCAATCGCTTATTGCTCGAAATTTCTCACATCCCTCGCGTGATTCCTCGTCAAGGAAACGCCCCGCGTTCGCCCTCGCCGACGGCGATCCTGCTCGAGGACCCGATCAAGTGGGACCGTTAAGATTCGTTGCGGATATTCGGGATATTTCGTCGGCGCTTCGGTCGACGTTGAGATCATTTGGGCGACAAATCGACGCACATATGCAATCGCACTTAACACTTACAACACAACGAGCTTAATAATACGAAAAGAAAGACGACAAGAGAGTAAAGAAAATAAATTAAGTGAATATCCCGCGGCGATATCGCACGGTCGCGTTGAACGATTCGTAACTTGCTTGCTAACTAAAATGCGAAAAACGACAGTTTTCATCCGTTGCCGTTTGGCGTCATTCGACGAATAATTTAATAACTAAACAAAGAGAAAAAAATGGCGACGAGTAGAAAGTCGATTGGAAAGAAACTTGGGAGTTTTTTTTTCTTTCTACACGAGGGAATCTGGCAAAACACAAAAAATTATCGCAAAAATATCACCAATTGTTATATTCGCCGCCGTCGAGTCCGATCACGGGGCGTAACTCTACAAGTGAATACACATTATAAATTAAATATCCATTTCTCTTGCAAATTCCTTAACGAATACCTTTTTTATAATACTTTTCACAAATTCCTTACCTAAAGACTTAAATCTAATTTATCGCTTGAGTTACGTGAGCTAATCTCAATCTTGGGTTCCCGTTTCTCGCAGACGCACAGTCGCACGAACTCTTAAATATATTTTTATAAAGATGCGTAATAATATCTTTTTAAGTATCTGTCTCACTCTCTCTTTCTCGCGCACACGCTGAGGCCGTCCCATCGTGGGAAGCCCCCGTTTCCTTATTGTTACTCTCCTCTCTTCTGTTTTTCTCCCTCTCTTTTATAAATATCTATATCCGCTATCAGTAATGCTACCCGCTTAAGTCTAACTTAAATAAAACTCGCCGACTCGCCATCTCTTTACTCTCTCAGGAGCTCATTACGCTACGCCGATCGCGTGCGGCGTGATACTGTCGCGCGGGGTGTGTGTGTGTGGGTGTGTGTGTGATACTGTCAATTAGTCTTAACAGCTAATACGCGCGACTTTCTCTCGTTACGCGGATTACAGCTCGTGAGTCGCTCTAAAAGTCTTGCTTAAAAGATTAACGCGAATTCGAATTACTCGAATTTACACACTCGTGTAAATCGCTATATATATAGTCTTATCCTTACTTAACGCGATGGAGAGCGGAGAAATATTGTCTTCCATTATTTGAAGAAAAATATATGTATATGTATGTGTATATATACGTGTGTACCGTATATGTATATGTATCTATACATTATATATAGTTATATACGTGTCCCTCGTATGTTGCTGCTCGTGTGTGTCGTACGTATATGTTATATCGGGAGGGTCTGTCCGCTCGCGCAAAGTGGATTGTGTGTATTGACCTGTTGCCTCTGGAAAGGCGAAAAGACGCGGTCGGAGTCCGCCGAGAGCGACGAGCGGAAGCATCAAACGGTGACGCGACGAGGAGACTAAAGAATAAAAAAAAAAAGAAAAAAAAAGAAAAGAGTTCGTCGTCGAGTTGTCGAGCTGTCATCGTTGTCACTGTCGCTCGATTCCCACTGAAAGACGCGAATCGGAAGGGAAGCTCGGGGGAGCTAGTTGCTCGGGAACAGCGAGTTACGCGCTTAACCGTCTAAAGTGGATGGCTCTCCCTTCGGTTCGTTCGTTCGTTTGGCACTTGGCGTTGCGGATCCTAGTCTTTCTAGCGCGCTAGTCTTTCGCTATATACGATTCCGCTATTCAAATCGTACTTACGGCGGGGGTCTACACGCGGACTGATTCTCTCATCGAAAAATGCCAGCAATCGGATGCGGGGAAATCGGCGCTTTATCATCCGCGACGTAACTTGGCTCGACGCGTCGCGTTCGTGCTTCCGCTGATCCCCGGCGGAGACAAACTCGATCGGATGTTAGCAAATACACACACATATATATATGTAAATAAAGGATCGTGAGAACGTGAGGAAAATAAAGAGGGACGTATAACGGTAAGGTAAGAAGAACGGAAATAAGGGGGGAGGCGATTTAGTGTTCTCTCCCCTGGTGGAGTAAGTCGTTCACGGCGCCCGCCGCTACTCTCGATTTTTCTTCCTTTTATTGCTTCATGGCCGAGAGAACGTCGGCCGTTGCGGGAACACTCGGGAGGCTCGAGGCTGCCGCGAACGCCGTGAAAACGAGTGGCCGCTAATGGATCGCGTTAATTAATCGATGATTAACGTAATGGGCGCGGCGAAACGTGGATTAAAACGCGGTTTCCGCACGCGCTTTTGACTCTAATGCGTATACGCGTTAATCTAAATAGGAACCAAAGTGTGCTGAAGCGCAATGACTCGTCGTCGTGTGTGTGATCGTGAAAAATGATATGTGCCGCGCGTAAAGCGGAAAAGACGAGGGACTCGAAAGAACTAACGTACATATAATGAGATACGCAACTAGTACTCGCCTGCTCACAAATAAATTAAGTAACGCATGATAAGAATTGAACGCAAAATTATTGTCCGTCCGCGATTTCCACTTGGGGAAAGCAACGTGTGATTACGCGGATGACTCTGATCCCCCTTCTTCGCGTGTGTTTCCTCATTCGCCGGGTTTTCCGTACGTCGGAGATCGTTCATTCTCTTCTTGGCAATCTCTTTGCTCTCATCTTTACTCGTTCCTCGCTCGAGTGCGAATCGATTGAAATTTCAGCCTCCTTCACTGGATCCTTTTCGCTTTATCCGCTTGCCACGATGCCGTTCCATGATAAAAGTATCGAAGAATCCATTTCTCGTAGCGTCGGTCCACGGAGATAAGAGAACGATGGAATAAAACGACGATCAGAAGCATTAGCGGAAGTCGTCTCTTCATCGAGTATTATCATTTCGTAGCTTTGCAGCGCGAGAGCGGGGTGGCCATTTCCAGAGACACTATAAATCCCCGAATAAGAATCGAAAGGCGGCTTTCGCGCCACGATCGACCTCGGAGAACGAATATTATATATGTATACCGTATCGTACACGGAGCGCGGGAGGGGCGGAGGGGGGGGAAGATGATCTCTTCCCCGAGGAGGATCCGTCGGATCCAAGAGATCAGAGAGCGGGAGCGCGTGCGGTATCTCATACGTATCTCCTCTTTAAACGTACATCCCCATCCCGTACATGGATCCCCAATCGACGCCCTGGAAGCTTGACATGTCGACGTTGGTGAGCGAGTAGCCCTGATAGGGATTACCGGGCGCCGCGGCGGCGGCCGCGGCCGCAGCGGGCGAGGATGCCGCCGCGGCGGCAGCGGCAGCGGCCGCGGCGGCACCCTGTGCCTGCGCCGGTGCCGTCGGGGCGTTGGGCGCCGCCGCGGCAGCCGCCGCCGCCATCGCGGCCGGTATCGGATAGGGCGCGTACCGATATGCCGCGAGCGCCGGATAGCCGCCGGTAGCGAACAGTTTGCCGTATCCCGCGACCGCGTTCTGCACCTGCGCGGCCGCCGCCGCGGCCGCGGCCGCCTGCACCTGCGCCGCTTGTGCCTGCGCGGCCACCAGCTGCGAGGCCGCCGCCGCGACCGGCAGCGGCGGCTGTGGCGCGAGCCGCACGCCTAGAGCGCCGAGCACTACCCGCTTGCCGAGCGCGAGCGCGCCCGGCTGCACCGCCTCCTTCGGCTGCGCCTTCTTGCACTCGACCTTCTTGTTCTTGATCGTGTGGAAGTGTATCTCGCACACGCGGTCCACCACGTCCTCGTTCTCGAACGTGACGAAGCCGAAGCCGCGATGGCGTTTCGTTTGTTGATCCATCAGCATCACCGTCTCCTCCACCTTGCCAAATTGATTGAAGTAGGCCTTGACCTCGTCGCTACTGGTGTCCTGACTGACACCGCCCACGAAGATCTTCTTAGTGCGATTGGCCTGTTTCGCGCGATTCTTCGGCGTCGCGTGCTTCGGATCGATCTTCTTGCCATCCAGGGTGTGAATGGGACACTTGAGGACTTTGTCGACGCTACCGGGCTCGGCAAACGTGATGAAGCCGAAACCGCGGCTACGCTGTAACCGAACAAGCCGAGAACCGGCACGATGCACAAGGACCGTCTATTGCGTGCCTCCCACTTTCGTTGCGACTGTTTTTTTTTTCGCTCTCGCGATCGAACGCTCCGACATCCGACTGATTTTTGCCGACTTGATCGAGGGATTTACCGTGTTTATTTCGCCTTCGTTTGGTTATCGCAAGACAAGACCGCTAAGATGTTTAGGACGAGTTTTCATGACCATGAAAACTTTTTCACGATCTAAACGCGTTCGGATAAAGCTAATTATAACTTGTCGGTTATGTACTGCGATTAAAATACCACACGATTTTCATTAATTTACTTGTTCGCTTCTAGCCTGCTCGAATGGTCACCAAAACTGATCCGTTTTGTCTTCTCCCTAACGTTGCGGGTTCAATTCGGAATATAAGAACGCTGTTTTTTTTTTTACGAAATTACCCTGATCTTTTTTTTTTTTTTTTTAATTAAACCTGCCTTCGGTGATCTCTCGTAGCTCTTGTTATAAAACGGTTAACTAGTGCTACCAAACTACCATTTGCATGCAAGACTGACCAAGCCAATGTTTAAGACAAACATTCTAATGTTACGTGAAACAAAGACTGCGATAAGACTCAAATCCATTACGAACGTTAAGGAGCTACTGATATATGTATATGTATAATATATATATATTACGTCTGTCCCACCCACTCTCGTTCGCGAAATTTTCCGATATTACACCCGCATTCGACATTTACCGCCTGCAAAACCGCCGACAAAATAAGAAAAAAAACGAAAAAAACTGCTGCCTCTCCCACCTTCTTTTAATATATAAAATGCGATTAATGCGATTAATAATACCTAATACAATCTACTTCTCTTAATACTTTATCAGCAATTAATTACACCGATTAGTACAACTTCTCATCTACTACGGTCTACTACGGTATATAGTTTCGTGCAAAAGTGGAAGGAGAGATTGCTTGGTGCATCGAATCCTGTCGAGGTAAAACTCCTTTCTCTCGCGGCATCTTCGCGGCCGACCCCCCCGCGATGCACGAGAGGGTCGGGGTCGGGCCGAAAAACCGTTACCGGCAAATCAATTGGCGCGGCATGAACGCGATTTGGAAACGCGTGGGCGATTTATACGAGGCTGTTCTCACCGTAAATTAAATAATGCAAATTTAATGATATCTGTGACGATGTTTCTCGTTATCAGCGGAACATTGAATCGATAGAAAATATTTATTCGAAAATAAACTTCTAATCGTATAAATTGTACGTACGATGAATTTAGAAAACATGAGAATACTGAATACACTTAGAAGTAAAATTAGAAAAATGTTTTATATACAAGAGTTTAAATTAAGTAACACTCTTGCTCGCATCCTCTCAATTAACGCAACTTTGAAATATTATCGAAACGTGATCGATAACGAAAACGCGAGACACGGGCATGAAAGACTTCGTTGTTAACTTATTATGACAGCCGGCGAATTAAATGGCGCGTGAGAACAGCCTCGTACAATAAATAACCGTAATTGATCGGGCGAGCAAGCCGAGAGTTATGCTCAGATAGGTGGACCGACCTGCGTCATCGGATCCTTCATGATGAGAACGTCGGTGACGGTGCCGAACATGTTAAAATATTCCCGCAGCTTCTCGCTGCTCGTCTGCCAGGAGAGACCGCCCACGAAGAGCTTGCCCGGCGCCGGGTCGCCGCCGTTCGGCGTACTCCTGCCGGAGCTGCCTGAGTGGCTACCGTTTATCGGCACCAACGGGTTGTGGAAGTCGTGCTCGATCGCGCCGTTTGTCGCCTCCATGCCGGCGCTGCAAACAATCAAAAGATAAATCGATCGTTAGATTGATTAAAATTAAATTTAAACTATTTGCTGGGTTAATTAAATTAAAACTATTTGCGGTTAGGTAAAAAGTTCATTTCGTCTCGTGTGTTAAAGTCTCCATACTAGAAACTGCTAAATATTATAATTTTGCAATTTTTATCAAAACATATACCTATATCTAACAATTCCTCCTATTTCTTATAAAGCTTACAAATTATACACATATATACATATATGTGTATACATGTATAATACATGGAAAAAAGTAATGTATTAACAGCATTAGCCAACAACAAGTTAATTGAAAATAATCTTGTTTATTCAATATAACAGTATTAATAAAATATATTTTATTAAAACAAGAACATGACGTATTTGCTTCATTAATACTGTTATTGAAATAATATGATTATTTTCAATTAGACTGCTACTGACTAATGTTGCTGACACATCATTTTTCTTTTATATATGTACACACACGCGCGTATGTAGTATGTATATATGTATAGATTAAAATTTTATATCTATATATTTTAATTTGGGTTCATTGGCGATATGTAAATACATTTATATTATATTAATACACTTATATTTTTAACTACAAAGCGCTTGCATTAGTAATTTGACACGCGTTAACATATTCGTGCGCGAATCAAATTATACATCGTGTTATATAAAAACGATGATAGATTTCCACTTATTTACATTTTGCAGCCATTTCCCAGGGAAAAGTGTTCATGCAGATGGCGATAAACATCTCGTTAATATCGACAGTTTTATTAAGAGCGCGTGCTCGTATTTTTTTTTTGTTTCAGATGGTACCACTCCTCATCTTGCAAACTTGCGCGTTTTTCGCCATGCCCTTCTGGTCGTACCATAGAATGTTCCTTACCACGATTGACGTTCAGTAAGTAGCGGGTTCTACGCTCTTCCGTGCACGACGGGTAAAGTAAAACACAAACACACCTCGTGTCTCGCGCAACAAGGTATAAAAATAATATATCATTTCGCAAAACGGTCGCGTAAGCAAACCCTGGAACTCGGACGGAAAATAGCGCGGCCCGTCTATTCCTGTAAGCAATCTACATTCTATGTATAACGCCGATGTGTTAAGGTCACTGTGTCTGCCGAGAGAGCTAACGACCTTGGCTCTGCCACGTTTTACTGCCACTTCCACTTACGCGAGGAACTTTTACTTGTGCCGTGAAATGTCAAGCAATCGCCGGTCCGTCAAAATAAAATAAAAAAAAAATTAAAAAAAATATATGCGAACATTTTTCTCGGGAAACCAAGTAAAAACGGGAGATAACGTTTCTCGTTCCTTTGTACATTTGCAATTTTTTCGCATTCGTCAGGATCTACGTAAATCGCAAAAACTACACGCGAGAATAAATATATCTTTCCGAGTAAGCGGATAATGTTGTCGTCTCTTTTAGGCTGACCGAGTATCAGAGATTCGAAATTCCGTCTAAACCGAGATTTTTCGACCTGCGGAATCCTCGTTCAATGAAGGTGAGTTGTTTGCAAGATGCATTTTTATTCCTGCGCCGAAAAAACGATTTTGCTGGGAGATCCAAAATTTAACTGGATACAAATTTGAAAATAATTTTATTGGACCATCAAAATAATTACGTTGGAAACTCAAGCGTGCTGTGCTGCAAAATTTTTGATATTCCAGCAACCAATTTGAGTTTCCAACGTAATTCTTTTGATGACCCAACAAATTTATTTTCAGATCGGTAACCAAGTAAATTTTAGTTTTTTTTTTTTTTTTTTTTTAAGCAAAATTGTTCTTTTTGTTTGATATTGTATAAATCATTTTTTTAGTTATTTTTTAAATATTTTCATACAATTTATCCTTCGTGAAATAAGGTTTTCAGATAGTGCTCTCGTTTCGTCCAAGCTTGTATTGAATAATCGATAATCTCGTGAGAAAGGAAAAACAATGTATCCATGCCCATGTCCTGTCTCTCGCAATATCCATAAATCTGCGACCAACCGCTGGCTGTTGCCATCGAATGCGCTTACATTTAATAATACCTGGAGACACGGATGAGCGGCAATATCTGATTAATTATTGCGCCCAATGTAAAATATTCAGTTAAAGCAATTAATTAAAAGCCGCATAAATAAGTGACACGTAATCCGTATTTTCACAATGAGAGATATCAATTGTGACAGGCGATGCCATTATCATCTTTAACCCCGATTAATTATTTTTACAATTATATTGATTTATCGCGTATCGCGTTATCGCTACTGTCTTACCCACACGTTCGTTTATATCTGGCGTCGCTAAATAATTCGTGTTACGGCTACGTTTCACAAACGCGCCTATACTTGTGTTTATCGCATTTGAAATCTCGTTACATACTGTTTTATTTCGAGAGCCCTCCTTACCTATAATAATAAATTGCAAGATCGCTCCACGGTCTCGCCGTATAATTTGATTCTCGATCAAAACGCGAAACGTAGGACGCCGTCGCGTCGTCGGCCGCGTCTCGGGATCTTTGACTGCAGAATGACTTTGTCTTTCGCTTACTGATGCATAATTACTGATCCACGTGATGACGACGAGCGCGGATCCGCCGCTCGCCGCAAAAGTAAGACCGTGCCACGGACAATCCGCGCGTGTTCCACGCACGTCGGCTACATCCCTTTTCTTTCCTCTCGCCATCGGGGAGATATCTCATAATATATCGTGGGATAACAAACCAATATCCCACCTACGAGCCGACAGCGATGTGGTCTCGCCCATCCCGCGTCTCGCATGTGACTCGAGAGATACGTGCGAAACTAAGAGAAACTATGGTCGTTCCGTCGTGTATATCTAACCGAGAGATATACCGTGCCGTCGCGATGCCTTTTCCCCCAGGATCCCAGCGTCGTAACGCGTCGTACATTCACCGCCGGTACCGACGGCGCGTTGCGACCGTACGGCGGGTGCGCGCGCGCGGGGGAGGGAGGGAGAATGGCGAGTGGACGGGACAGCGGGGTGCGCGCTGTGTATAGCAGCGGGGCGGACGGTCGGAGGGGTTGCGCGTTAGCCCGGTTCGGATATATCGCCGCGAGCGGCATGGTCGACATGCGCGAAGGGTGTCGCGGGGGTGCAGAACGGCGGGGTGCAGGCAGGGCACACAGAGGGGAAGGGGTTGGAGCAGGACGGAGCGCGGCGAGGGTGGAGCGGAAGGTCCGGACGAGCGAGAGAAGAGAGGAGAAAGAGCCAGGAGGGTCGAGGCGAAACGAGCGAGTCGTTTGGGGTTGGGAGTGGCGGCGGCGGCGGCGGCGGTGGGACGAAGCGGCGCGAGGCGGGGAGGCGGGTAGTTGCCCGTCGTGGGGCACGACGCCGACGAGAACGCGCAGCCGGTGGATCAATACACCCCTCCGCTTCGTTCTTCTCGCCGTGTGCGGCTCGCACCGCCGCGGCCGCACGGCTTTCGGCGCCGCTCGCTCGGTCATGTCGGCTTCGGTCTTCCCGCGATCCTCCCTCCTTCGCCCGAGGAAGCCGCGATCGGTCTCACCGTGGAAAACGTCTTACGACGTTCGCCGGGTGTTCTTCTCTTCATATTCTCTTCGTCTCCTCACAATACGCTTTCTCCAACGGAGCGTAATGATTACTAAATTCTTCTTTTCTTTTTCACCCTTTTTGACCGCTCTCTCATTCCGGTCTTACGTCTCATTTCCAAGGGAGACACGCTTATTGTCGGCGGTATCGAAAAATTCTCCCAGACGACTTTTTACCCAGGGGTAAAAAAAATATGCGAAAAAGAGATTCAAGTTGAAGAAAGACGGACTAGAGCGCAATATATCGTTTACGCTTTTCTCGCGATTTCCTACCACGTCAAGCAAGCAACTCAATATTCGAAATGTCGTTTCTCGAAAGCGGAATTTCTTCAGCGTGGTGATATCTTCGGATTGTCTCCCGTTTGGTCCAAAGGGTAAATCGATCAATGGAACATCCGCCGCATTCGTTCATCCGCACGTACGCATCGAATCACGGAGGCGGGATGTTTCAACAAGATAGATAGAATAGTGCTTTGAGAAAAAAAACTCCGCGAGTCATAATTAGATATACATATTGTTTTCATCAACAAGCTCGAGTCCTTAAATTTTCCAATTTTTCAAATTATATCGGAGCAGAGATTCTATCTATTTGCGTTCTTCACACGTTGTCCGTTCACGCAAATCTAAAATTGTGCGCGAAATAATTCCGCGCTGCAGATTTAATTTTCTCGTTGGCGTGTCGTGCGCTTTGCGGTTATCGAGCTTACCGCCGCGAAATCGAAATATCATCGCGTAAACTGAGATTAAAAAAAAAACCGTTTGATGTGGTTCGAGTGGACGATTGAACAATCGGCCAGCGTGATGCGGCTTGTCGGCTGTTTAATCGAGCCGCGTTGTCATCGGAAAAAAGATAGCCATCGGTAGAGATACGTAGTTTTCGTACGCAACGTAAATGGCGATTCATAATCGTCCGATGGAGCGATCAAACGCGCATTATCAAATTCGTAAATATGTCCACAACACAAAGGAGTCAAGTATCCTCCTTTCCCGATGACCTCGATCGTCTTACGTTGTGACGGCGAGGACGGGACGTCAGGTGAAAAAGTGAGTGAAAGAGAGGAAAAGAAAAAATAAAAGGCAAAAAGAGAGACAAAAGGGAGAAGGATAGCGAAAGGGAGAGGAAGAGATGAAGTAATGACAGAGAGAAGAAGAGGGAGGAGGGAGGGAGAAAGGGTGAGAAACAGAGAGATAGAGGAGGGGGAGAGCTGGATGGCAGAGGGGTGGCCGAGACTGGTGTAGTGAGATCGTGTGTAGTTTCAGTATTTTCAGTATCGCTAGACATCCCTAGTACCAAGCAGCAGTCTCCGCGTCCGCCCCCAGCAACGTCGAGGGGTCGTACTCGGTCCCCCTCTCGCGCCGGTGCTATACTCTTCCGCACCCTGAGCCCCCCCCTCCCCTGTATCCCTCCCTGTCTCGCGTGTACACGTACGCACACGGACACACGCGCGCGAGCGCGCTTTCTCTCCGTCACGCGCATGCGCGTGCGCGCACACACGAGACCGGAGGATCATGTCGAAGACGAAGAGGGTGAGTTTCCCTCGCGCGCGGTGGGAGAGGCTCGGGAAGGTGGAAGAGCCCCCAGTCCTAGTGGGGAGGAGGCGGGTGGGTGGTTTGGGGGGAGAGAGAGGGTGCGGAGGCGCCGCCGCCGCCACCGAGCGACGCAGTGCCGTCGGGACGCTCGACCGAATGATACGGCCTTCGCAAAGGGGTATTTTTCGCCGGCCGCCATATCTCGCTCGGCAATCCGCTCAACTGCCGCACCGCAGAAGCAGTCGGGAAGAGAAAGAGAGAAAGATGGAGAAAGAGGGAGAGAGAGAAAGAAGTAGAGAGAGAGAGAAAGAGAGGGAGCGCCGAGAAGAGCAGTACTAACCCCCAAGAAAGGGAAGGAAGACATCGGAGAGAAATCAGCCCACCGGCCGGGGATATTGTCCTGTCACAGCAGTACGCCTTTAAAGAGTTACTGGTGTGATGGGACATTGTCCTCGTCCTGGTGGTCCACTTCTAACCGCGTCGCCGTCGTCACCATCGTCGTCGAGACTCAGGGCATACAGAATGTGGAAAGTGTATCGGTTGAAAGTCGTATTGGTGTCGCGCGCTTTCGCTTAGACGTTTTTCGCGGTAGTCGAGGAGAACGACAAGAGGGTGAAAAAGCCAGTGGGGATGAAACAAACAAGGGATTTTATAAATGTTTGCACGACGGCGGTGGATCTCCGCGAACGAAAACGAGAAGGAAACGCCCGAACACGATTCGACTGTTGTGCCACGTCGACATTCAGGGAAGGCCTGATGGGAAGAAAAGAGAAAACCCACCGGATTTTTTTAGTCCTCGTAAACTATTAACATCGTTCTCGATACTCGTCGTGAACACACCATGGTACAGCGATGGTGTTTTCCAGTCGATAAGGCAGCTTCCGAGAGGCGCGGCTGCTCGCCACCCTGGTCGATTCAAGGACTCGTTCTCACTTTCCTCGATCGTCAACAGAGTTCTTATCTCCGCCCCTTTGTTTAAAACGCGGAAACGCGGAGTTATTTTCGGAGATAGTGGGAATCGTTATCGCGCGACATCGGTCTGTCTTGCAGGTAGACCGATTCGAGTCGCCGAGGATCATGAAATCACGTTCGAGTGACAGAGGCGTTCCGTTATCGGGACGCATCTACGTTGTGCCTATAGCCCGCAAAATGGCCGGAGCGCGTTCGTGGATATTCCTGCGCGTTATCGTCGCGCAGTGACCTCTCGTCGAGGAATAACATCGCGTGTCGCTCGTATTAATCCGGAAAAACACGGATCCGCTGCGGCCGGTCGCCGCCCGAATGCGCTCCGGAAATTCTCTCGTTCGTCAATCGATCGCGCGAACGCGAACGGGTAACCCGATCGAAAGTCGGAACTGGAAGAAGGTCGTAGGTTGTAACATAGTTTCGGTGGAGGTCGGATGTGTCTACTCGTCACT